TTTATGCTCACCCCGTTGTTTTTCCATGTTTTTGCAGGAAATAGGTGAGCAACGGTCGAAAGGACGTCGACAAGCGGAGAGAATTGGCATTACTGTCCACCGTTGCTAAGTTTTTGTACTTGTTATTTTGATATATGTAAAGAATTATATTTTGTATGTTAAGAAAAATTTGGGCCCAACTATTTTCATATGCTAATTATGTATGTTTTCATAGTATATGTTATAAAATATACTATTAGAAAGAAGTCATTACACCACTCTTCATCCATTTTCATGCCACCTTCACCTTCATATTCTCTCAATTTCTTCAACTCTTCTTCAAGGGAAATTCATAGATTTTGGGTACTTTTGAGTGGATTTTCAATCCCAAGCATCCTTAGGTAAGATCCTTGCACCAAGAAGTGAGTTTTAATTTTGAAAGTGTTGAATTTTGATGATTTGTGTTCATAGGATTTAAGAGAAATGGAGTTGGTTCAAAGAAGATTTTTAAAGTGTTGGATTGCTCACATATAAGGTAAGTAAATCCTACCCTAAGTATGATTTAAATAATATTGTGTAGAGAATTTCTTTTATGCATATATATGTTTTATATGAAGAATTGTTGATGGATTTGGTGTTGAATGATGATTATAACTTATCCGTGAGAAGTTGTGTTAGTGTATTTGATGTTTGATGAATGTTTGGATGAAGTTTGGAAGAATTGGAGTGGAAATTTTGGAGTGTATATTTTGGACAGGTTTGGCGTTAAATATGGAGGGTTTTATTCCCAATTTTTGGTGGCCTAGAAAAGAGATAGAAGTGTAGCCAAATTAGAGTTGCTTTGTGCACATAAGTTGTTTGATGAAATGTCATAGAGAAGTGTTTTTATGAGTATGATTATGTGTTATATTGAGATGAGTTTGTAGATGGTAGAGAATGACATGTTTGCATTCCATATTGCATTATTGCATTTAAACATGTGAATTTAGGAAGAAATATAAGCATGAAACCATCTACATGCATATAAACTCATAAGAGCATGAAAAAGCACTAAAGAATATTAAAGAGTAAATAGAAAGAAATGTGAAGATTAAAGAAGTTCAAAATTGAATTTTATTTAAAGAAGTGTAAAATATAAAAAGAAGAAAAGGTTGTTGCGATGGGGAACCCGTGAGTGACAAGAAGAATTTTCCCCACATGCACGCCGCCTTTAGTGAGCGGCCTAAGAATAAGAAAGAAGAATTGGTATAGTCCGTAAGAGTGCATGTGGATGAGGGATGTACCCAAGAAAGAAGAATACACTCACACGGCTAAGGTTCCAAATTCATGCCTCAACCGAGTTCGATCGGCAAAAGAATAAGAAAGAATAAGAAAGAAAAGAAAGAAAAGAAAAGAAAGAAAGAAAGAAAAGAAAGATTAGAAAAGAAAAGAAAGAAAGAAAGAAAAGAAAGATTAGAAAAGAAAAGAAAGAATAGAAAAAGAAGCAAAGAAAGAAATACAGAGAAAAGAAACAGAAAACAGAATAAGAAAAATAGAAAAGAAAATGCATATTTTATACATTTGTGCATTTGCATTATATATATATGCATAATACCATGCCCATTATCCGAGTAGTGAGAAATTAGAATAGAGAAAGAACAGAGAGAACGAACAGAGAGAAAAACAAAGTAAGAGTAGAGAAAGAATAGAGAAGAATGGGGAAATGTGAAGTAAGGAAAGAAATTCAGAATTTAAGCAATGGAGAGAGGAGGGTAGCATAGCGGGTTTACTTACTGAGCAATTAGTGCTCACCCCATTGTTTTCAACATTTTTGCAGGAAACAGGTGAGATGCGGTCACTTGGAACATCACACAGCTGAAGGGTTTAGCAAAACTGTCGAGTTACTATTTTGAGACTTTATTATATTATGTAAAGTTTTGTGTATAAAGAAAATTAAATATGGGCCCATAATTTTATACTCGTTTATATGTATATATTCTCTTATATATATTTAGTAAGTTTTACTGTTATTTTACGAGTATACTAGCTAGAAAGAGAGTCATTACATATATTTAAATGAATTATTATTATTAATTAAATATTAATATATTTCATAAATATATTAATTGATTTTTAATTATAATGATAATTAATTAAAAATAAAATACCATAAGAAGGGTGTTTGGATACAAGGGTGAATTAGAGTTGGAACCCATGTGTATTCCTTCTAGGAATAGGGTTTTAACAACTTGCATTATATAAGTGCAAGTTGTGTTAAAGAAATCATTCATTCCATTATTAAAGAAAGAAAAGGCAACCCCCTTTCACCCTTCTCTCTCATGTTCTCCCTTGGTTGAATCAAAGATCTTCTTGATTTAATTTGATTCTTGAAGCCAATTAATGGATCTAGCAAATCCTCTTTGGTTCTTCGGATTGTCTTCGTGTAGATCACCATCGTTCATTCTACATTGAATTGGTAGCAAAGTAAATTCAGAGACATTGAAGGAGCCTTCAAACATGTGTAAGATCTCTGATCCTTGTCTGGATTGATGTTATCTTTGTTGTTTCAATTTAAGCATGTAATATATATATATATATATATATATATATATTATATCAGACCACCTTGATCTTGGGATAATCAGAGTAATCGATGGGAAATAATTTTTATTTTCCGCTACTTCTACTCATCGATTTACTTACAAACAATTCAAACCACATCAACAACATTATCATTCTACTTTCAAGGAAGTATTAGCAATAAAAAATGCTATTGAAAGATTTGAATTCCATCTTGTTGGACATCATTTCTTTGTTGAAATGGATATGAAGTCCTTTGATCAAATGCTCCGATTCAACAAGAAAAATGTTACACATCAACACTTACTTTGATAGGCAGAATGGTTCAGCAAGTATTCTTTCACTGTCTAGCACATCAAAGGTCACACCAATACCATTGCAGATTATTTATTCAGGCCTAAAACTAAACAAGTTTATTTCATGAACCCTAGGTCTAAACCAATTCCCTATTTCATGTATCAACCACTAACCCAGTCTAGTTCATGTTCATCCTCTTCTTTACCAAACCATGTGCCAGACACACCTCCTGAATTCGATGACCTTGTTCAAACTCGTACCATTGGTGAAAATGCCACCACCCTCATGTTTTCTTATCAAATTCAATGCATTGAAAAATGTGGACAATCCATGTATGATATGTTAGGTGTCCATCCAGATTACCCTTTTTTCAAAAATCTTTTGTTTACCTCCAGGTCCAAATATCATATTTCCAGAAGAATTATTATGGCTCTTTTGGTATATGTTACACCAGTACCACATTGCCATTCAATTCCCGGTTTATTATATGTTGAAAATGATTTCCCGGTATCAATCATCCTCGACCTCTGAGTTACGCCCTTTGATGACTTTTCTAAAATGGTTCAAAACCTTGGAAAATGGAAGTTTGTGTTTGCTCATCAACTTGCTTGATACAAAGGTCCTATGTCCACCAAAATGGCATGGTCCATGTTTTTTTCATAGACATCACTCCATCAGATCTGATTGCCTATATTTTTCACAGCATCAAGTCACATTTCATCGATCTTATCCATAATATGTTTGACCATCTTGTTGAGATTGGGTTAATTTAGAAGATCCTTTTGAGAAAAATCAGACGATTCCAAATGAGATATGGCCATCTTTTCGTGATGATGCCCCATGGGAACACTTTCCTCCAGCGTACACTGAGAAATTACTCCAGGCCAAACAAACATGCTTGAGTTCCATTACTACTCAATTAAATGACACTTTAGACTATCCAGAATGGTGGTATCCAGATTCTCAGCTAGATACTGTGCAGGAAGAAGAGCTTCAGCAGTCTCGTGATTACTATCTTTATAAATCCAAACGACAGCAATACATGCATGCAGGAAGTACCTCTGCAGGGCAGCCATCTCAATCTCTAAACATTTCTCCAGATATTCATCCAGATTCATCTTCTTGACAAATTCCTGCTGATTGGATTTAAGCAATGGGCTATCTCAATTTCCAAGATGAAGGCTCGTGACATGTTACAAACTTGTTAAATGATTAAAGCCCTACGTGTCTTAAAATAAAAATTTATGTCCTTTATGTTTATCTGTAAAATAGACGTGAACAAAATGGCAGTTTGCCAACTCAAGTGCAATATCTCCCATGTAAGATAAAAAAAGTCAAATAAATGTGTGAAAGAAAAAATCTAAAAAGTCAATTATATCAAGCCATGTAATGTGTATTAAATGGGACTCTTCTCTTCTTGTTGGAGAAGGAGGCATTGTGAAAAAATCTCTTGTATATTTCTCTTGTTCTTACATTGTTTTTTTGGGAAAAATCTCTCCCATTTATCTCTTGCATGCATTTCTCATTTCATATTTCTTTCATGCTTCTTTCATACTTCTAGACCTTCTCTCAACCTCAAAGTTGTTGTAATATTCTGATAATGATAAGAATAGCAAAAAATCTCATATATTATTTTCATTTATGTTCCTAATGTGTTTTATTTTTACTAACTCTTTTAAATTATATTAAAAGATGTGTAGTTGTAAGTGTGTGTAGGATAAAATGAGGGTTTTGATCGTAAATTTGACTGATTATTATGTTAATTGGTTTAATATAAATAGCTATTATAGTTTCCACGTGCATAAACTGGATAATCAAACTTGTGTCACTGAGGTCTGATAACCCGTTTTTAAACAAATTAATATTCGACTTGAATTCACACAAACGCCACTGCCACCTGTCAAAAAAACACGTTTTCACAAAACAAACATAATAAATCCAAACAGAAGCATAATAGTAATTAAGTACGCATCTTCGATTCCCCTTCTGTTCTGATCCTTTCTTCAACCGAACCCATCACCGTTCAGCTCTGGTGGGCGACCTCCCAAAATACAATTATTTATTAATCTGAATAACCAACCAAACAGACAAACACGTCTCAATTACCCACTCAATAAAAGAAAAACAATTGTTTGGTGTTGATCTGTAAACGAATAATCCAGAAAATGTTTAACGGTATGATGGATCCGGAATTGATGCGACTCGCTCAGGAGCAGATGAGTCGCATGTCACCCGCTGAGTTCGCCAGGATCCAACAACAGGTAATTAATCGTTGCATCTTCTTATCTTTCAAATTTGCCCAATTTGATTGATTCTTGTGATGCGATTTTAATTGATTCGTTTTCTTATGTAAAATTCTTGTTTAAAATTTGAATTATCAAGATTTAAACGCGGTAATGAATAAATTTGTGATGCGAATTATGGATTTATGGAGGATTTCTCTTGAAATTTTGTTTGATAATTTGAAATCGAATCTTGATTATTATTATTTTTTCGCTAATGATTAACAACCGTTCCTGTTAAACAAACGTTATATTAAGGCAACACCTGGCTTTAGTGAAAATAGTTGATTTCGTAATTGTGAAGTAAACATTCAATGTACATTATTCAACTAAACTTCAATGGGGAACTTGTTGCTGTTGGATACGTGGAATTTGTCGTCCTCAATTTCACCATATCCACAACCGCTTAGCAAGTTTGATTTAAATATAGAACTCTATTTTTAAACCATTTACAAGCCTTGATGGATTTCCGAGTCTTCAAAATTTGAGATAAGTGAAAACAGGGAAGTTTAGTGCTTGGGATCATTGCTATTTAAAAGTAAAATAGGAGCATGTCTGATTTGTGTTGCCATTTTTCTTAATTATTTAGCTGTACAAAGGGGTAGGGAGGAGTTTAACATCATCAAATTGCCTTACATGAAAGAAAAGCACTAATGTAGTTTAATACAATTGTATCGAACTTCTTATATGAAGTTATTTCGTGGTGGACGTTTATTAAGAAATGTAAGAGTTGAATGTTTTTAAAAATAATTTAGGTTAGTTGAACATTGATTTCACAATAACAATTGATTATATTATCCAGAAATATCCATACTAAATATAGCCCTTGTTAAAACCTTCTAGCCACGCTGGTGGATGGGTTAATCTGCGTTCATTTCTTGCTGTGATAACTAATCACTATAGAATATGAAATTTGGTGAATGTCATAGCTGCTACGTGTGTGAAGTCCTAAGTTGAAAAAAAATCAATAACTTTGAAATTATTATAATTTAATTCTAGGCTTTGTTAACCGAAAAAATGGTTGATTAACTTAAAAAAAAAAAAAAAAATTTCTAGATTTAATTTCAATTTTGATGCAAGTTCATAAACTTTTTTCCAATTGAGTGTTTTGATAAACCATTTTATTATTTGAACAGAAACAAATTAGAAATTTGAAGATTGTTTGACTCAAAAGTCAGTCCTTTAGCAAAAATAAGTTCAAAATTTTAAATGTTATAATTAATTGTTTTGAGTGGTTTATAGTTTCTATTATATCTAAATTCAACAATAAGCAATGGGATGAACTCAATGCCTTGTAAAGCTCGAAGGTGTGCATATTATTTGAAACAATTTTTATGAAGTTGAGTGTGTCAAGAATATATAATTGCGACAATGGTGTTTAATAGTCCATTGAGCTCTTCCATGGCTTGGTTATGGTCAATCTTCCAGCTTCTGACTTTGATGTGCTGCTGGCATTACAGATGATGGCTAATCCTGATTTAATGAAAATAGCTACTGAAAGTGTGAAGAACATTAGGCCTGAAGACTTAAAGCGTGCTGCTCAACAGTTAAATCATACCCGTCCAGAGGAGATGGCTGAGATTGGTGAAAAATTGGCTAATGCCACTCCTGAAGAGATTGCCTCTATGCGTACTCATGTTGATGCTCAATTGACTTATGAATTAAATGCTGCACAGATGTTGAAGACACAGGTAACTTTTATTTATATTATTATGTTGTTAATATTTCAGATATATTGGAATCAGTTGCAATCCATTTCCTGAGTCTTTCCGGTTTACTTTATTATAGGTTCAGTGGTCCTGTTGGTCTTTTGTCTGGTTTCTGTACTCCAAGCCATCAGTTTCCTATTTTATAGTCAAGTTCTTGAATTAAAACTGTGTTAACTAAAGTATTCCAAGTTTCACTATTTTAGTTCTTTCAGCCTTTTCCTCTTTTAGAATTTGGGCTTGTTCAAAGCCATATCTATATGGATAAAACCCTAACAAAAAAGTAATGTTGATAGGAAAAGATGATCTTTTCTTGCCTCATCTAGTTAAACTGGTTTGCCCTACTCGTGCCCAAGTGGAAACTTTGATTGGTATTGCCACCCATGACCATGTATTTGTATAGCATTCTGAGAGATGAGGTACTTTGAAGAAACAAAAAATCCCTCTCCAGTAGTTTGAGCATTTAATTCATGAAGGATATAAATTGATTTCTCATTTGAATTAAACTTTTTTGATGAAAATAAGTTGAATATATGAGTATTTTGTGTTATTCAGGTGAGCGTAGTATTTGGAGTCTATTGTCATGTAACTTAACCAGTGAAATCAATTTTGACAGTGATGCAAAAAAAAAAAAAAAAAAAAAATGCGCTTACATGGGTTTGCTAATATTTTTTTTTCCCATGATTACTGGAAAGCAATGACTCATCCAAGTTCCATCATTCAACTACGAAAACTAATGGTGGTGATAGAAAATTATTTGAAACAATGCCTTTAAATGAGAAACAAAATGATAACATTCAGGCAACTTGGTATTACTGGAGGATTTATGAGGGTCCTTTTGTCTATAATGCTTGAGGTACAACTAAATGCCTCCTGCTAGCGGAAAGGTTTAGCTTTCCCGTTATGTGTATAAGGTGAAGATTGATGGCACCTTGTTCTTGTAGAAGTTGTGACACAATTCTGGACCCATTAAAACAATTAATTCACACTTGATTTTTGAGATCATATCTAAGATGCCTAATTAATGCACTTTATTTAAAGTTTGTTGATTTAACTTCCCATAAGATGTGTCATAATTTATGTAAACAAAATGGGAGTCATTGATTCTCATATATGTGTGTGTTAACGCACTTGGGACCACGCAAAGTTGATTACTTAAGAGTTTGAATCTTGTGATTGATCTTCTATTTTTGTTTGATTTCTTTTTTCAATTTTTCTTGGTATTTGTCCGCATGTGTGTTTGTGCATTTGGCAGTTGGGGTACTCAAATTTGATTAATAATAATTGAGTTGATTCCCCAAACTTTGCTGTTTTTATGTCCCATTCAGTAATGGTTCAATTACCACTGGAATTTGGCAGGGGAATGAGCTTCACAGCCAAGGACAGTTCAAAGCTGCATCAGAGAAATATTTGCTTGTAAGGCTGAATTTGAATTTTATTTTATTTTATTATTATTTTTTTTTTGTTGGTGAGCTCATGTTTTGGTTTATGTTTTTTCTAATTTCCTCCCATTTTGAACAAATATTAGGCGAAGAAAAATTTGGAAGGAATTCCTACTTCCAAAGGAAGAACACTTTTATTGGCGTGCTCACTTAACTTGATGTCTTGTTACCTGAAAACAAGGCAGTATGATGAGTGTATAAAAGAAGGCTCTGAGGTATAAATAAGACATTTCTTTCTCTTGTTTGTTGTCCTGTATTATAAAATATCATCATGTCCAGATGCCCAATCTAGCTTTTCACTGTAAGAACTTGCAAGAAACAAATTGAATTTAGCAGCAAATAAAATAAACAATTATATATATTAAGATGTTAATTTTTAGAAGCAAACATACACCAACTGCAAATGGAGAGCAGATAAAGTTAAATATTGGCCTTATTTCAGGTGTTGGCATATGATCCAAAGAATGTCAAAGCTCTTTATCGAAGGGGTCAAGCATATAAAGAACTTGGGCGATTGGGAGTGAGTTCTTAGCATAGAAAAGTGAATTGTTTCAACTGATTGCCAAGTTGTGCTAATGCAAGATTTTACATTTATACATTTATGTCCTATTTTCTTATGAAGTTCTCGTTATTATATAGGATGCTGTCTCTGATTTGAGCAATGCACATGAAATTTCCCCCAATGATGAAATTATTACAGATGTCTTGAGGTATGAATTTATTGATTTCAAAAAAACATGGGATGCTTTTGTAGAATGCCATAACTTATCTTATGATGTAGCTATCTTCTGAGCCATCTTGGGCTAGCCATTGCATTTATTTAAATTTCCAATCATCCTCTGGATTTTCTTTTATTTTTCAATCTTTTGGGTATATGGCTTATTAAAGCTTATGACGTTTTGTACTTTATTGGACTTTTTCATTTTTACTTTTTGAGTATCTCTGAACTTTTTGCAATCTGACATTTCCCTTCTGCATAAGAATTAGGTTTGCTGTCCTTTTTAACATTTTCTTTTTCAGAATTTATGTTAGTGCGAAGTTATGTTTTGTTTTTTATTTCTACATTTTGAGATATGATATCTATTGTTGATGCAGAGATGCTAAGGAAAGACTGGCTAAAGAAAGGGGTTATCATGCACCAGGAGGTATGTTTTCTCTTTTAAGAATTATCAACGTTTATTGTATTTCTCAGTGCTTCTTTCCCTTGGTTAACTGCATAATTGTGTTATTCAAATTTTGAGAGACTTTTGTTCTGATCTTGTTGGATAGGGTTAGTAATTGAAGAAATAACTGAAGAAGTTGGGGCAGTGTCTTCCGGAAACCATGAAAGTTTGTCTGGAGGATATGCAGTAATGCAACCACAGGAAAGAACCGACTTTTCCCAGAGTAAAAGTAGGGCTAATGGTGGGGACTTGACAACCAATCGAGATTCTTTTCAGGATTTGAAGGATGACGCAGAGGCTATCAGGTTTGTTACAAGGAAAGATAATGTTCAAGTATAGAATTCATGGAGCTTTGATCATTTGTAAATGAGAAAAGATGTTCTAATTGAGATGTGAGTGTGAGGACTGGAGAGCCATAATTGCTTAACATATTTTAAATTTTAATCTTGTGGAAGACATATACACTAGAGATAATAAAGGCAAGAGTAATGAAAAAGGAAAGTTTTGAGAATGACTAAAATCTCAGATTAAGTTTAAGCTGTTGAGTCAAGGAAAAGGAAAAGTAGTAATAAATCTGAATCTAGAATTAGTGCAGTGAAAGATAAACACTACAGAAAAGCCATTGTGGATGAGAGGAACCAAAAACCCAAATATTTGTTCATGAGAATTTGCAGTTGGAGAAACTATTAGTTGTAGTTTACATTTATGGGCATTGGACTAACTATTATTACTTTATTGAGCTATTTCATTTTTACTTTTTGGATATCTTAGAACATTTATGATGTCCAGAAAGTGGGAAGTTACAGATCAGGGACCTTTAACTTATGTAGTGTTTGGGTTTGCGACAAGGAAAAGGAGGCCAAGGAAATGCCAAGTATTGATTATGTTAGAAGACTGTACAGAAAACATACTTAAGCCATGGGATAGTAACTTCTATTTAGATATCTCATGGTCCTCTTGATGATTTCTTGTGATGGTCATGTACTCAAATGATCTACACCTCCAACTAACAGGCAAACACAAATAAATCACAATGGAACACTTCTGAATCTATCAGGTTAACATTATTAATATAGGAACTCAGTGATTAGGTTGATTTGAGGATCAAAATCAATGTGTTCAGTCTATAACCTACTGCTACCCCTCTTTTATTTTAAGGCTGAAAGTAGTCTTATGTTAGGGGAGTTCCTTTTTTGTTTTGTTCCATCATTGACCATGCTTACAAAACAATTTCCATTGAGCTGAGTTGTTTTGTTTATCCGTGATTATTATTTATTTATTATATTTATCCTTTTTTTTTTTTTTTTTTTTTTTTTTTTTTTTTTGGTGTGATTCATAGATCATTCAAGGATTTCATTTCTAATGCCAATCCTGAAACCCTGGCTGCTGTTAGTAGTGGAAAAGCTGGAGAGATATCTCCCGACATGTTTAAGGCTGCATCAAATATGATTAGCAAGATGTCACCTGAAGAACTTCAAAAAATGGTTCAGTTGGGGGAAGGTCCATTTACTACTGGGAGTAATATGACGCCTGGGTCAATGCCTCAAAATATTACACCTGATATGCTTAAAACTGCTTCTGATATGATGGGTAGGATACCACCGGAAGAGCTCCAGAAAATGTTTGAAATGGCATCCTCTTTAAAAACTAGAGACACAGGTCCAATGTCAGCAAATGGAGTCAGTTTAGGTACTGGGTCAAAATCATCAGAATCCGAGGAAAGTTCTGTTATCAGTGGGAATAATGTTGTAGGTGACACTAGTTCTTCTCGTAGTTTCTTTCCAAATTCAAGAAGTGGTCTTCAGTCAAACTTCCAACCCTCAAGCAGTGATTTACAACAGATGAAAAGCCAAATGAATGATCCAGCTATGAAGGAGGTATGTTTGACTTCTCCTTTCATGTTGTATAATAAGGGTTGGTTCAAATCTGATGACAATGAAAACATTTCATCCCTGCAGTGTAGCATAGTAGGTAGTTTTCTCTATTTTTATAGCTTTGAGATGATTAGATTTGATACTTGTGCATTGGCTCTGAAGAACTTACAGCAATTCTCTTTAAAACAGCCTGAGGTGATACTTCCAATTTTTAGCAATGATTGTGCTGTGCAAGTCTATTGTTTTACATAGTAGAAAACAAGTTAATATATCTTCAGTTGCTATGCAAGATGCATGGAATTACATCTTCTCCTTTAGAAAGTCTGTCTTCAGCTATTTAAAATATGCATGACCTTTTTTTTCATTCCTGAATGTTTGGTTAATTGCAAATTGGCAGATGTTCGCATCAATGATTAAGAATATGAGCCCAGAAATGATGGCAAATATGAGTGAACAATTTGGATTGAAGCTTTCTCAGGAAGATGCGGCAAAATTTCAACAAGCAATGTCATCTTTATCACCGCAGGACTTAGACAGAATGGTAACTTTGACATGATTACTTATTCATGTGATCTACTAAATTTAGTTTTGTCTTTTTATTGTCAGTATAGTATAATGAAGATCGTAGCATTGACAAGAATTTTAGATGTCCAAAATAGGAATCGTAATTGATTTCTCTTGTTTTTTTTGAAGTTCTAATTTGTTGCTTGATAGATTATGATATTGCTGCTTCACAAATGGCGAAGGATGCTTTTGATGAGTTAATGGATTAATATTGAGATCTTTAATTTTTTATGTTGTCCTTTTATTTTCAAGCTGGATACCATTTCATTTTGTTCTTAATCCATTAGGATTTAAGAGGGCTGGATGGAACAGCGTGATAAAAAAAATTTATGATCTTATGTGGTTTGGTTGTGTCTGGCAAACAACGCTTAGACATGTCTCACAAAAGCACAGTCACATGTACATAGTCATTACCAGTTGCCAAAATATGAGCTTTAGGATAGGAGTTGCCAGATTGAGGCTTCAAAGATATTTGTTGGGTTTTTCTTACTACTAATGTCCTCTAATTGTCTTGATCGTATTTTATTTTCGAAATTTTCTTTTCTCAAACAGTTTTGACTTCAAATAGTACATTTTCCTACCCACTATGCATTAAAGATGTTAACTTTTTATATCCTAACTTGTGCAGATGCGGTGGGCAGATAAAGTTCAAAGAGGAGTTGAAGGTGTTAAAAAGACAAAGAACTGGTTGCTAGGGAGACCTGGTTTGATTCTAGCAATATGTATGCTCATCTTAGCGGTGTTGCTTCACCGGCTGGGCTTCATCGGTAGTTAGACCTACACCCAGCTCTATTCATTATAATTGATCCCATTCTAGTTTAACCCATAGATGAGCGGCAAATCTTTGTACCCAGCATGTCCCTACAACCATATAATCGTAGCAAGGTGAGTAAAACCAAGAGCAGTAACTGCTTAGAACGAGATAAGAAAGGGATGGGGTTGTGTTAAGTGGGTGAAATGATGCCCATGATTCTTTTTGTATGCTATTACTGGAACTTCCAGTGAAAAGAACTGGATGTTGTTGGATAAACTATATGCGTCTTTTGTAAGTTGAGTGAGGTGATAAAAGAATGTCAAAATGGATCTTCATTGCACTAACTGTCTAATCTTGTCTCATTCATTAACAATCACCGAGTCATTGAAAATGTGATTTGAAAAACAATTGGGAGTTGTAAATACATGCACAAAAAAATGACCTTTATGGTTTTATATCATATATTTTTTATGTATCAAATTATATCTTGAAAGCATATGGTTTACCCAAGAGGGGATGAATCTGGGTGTTTAATATAAGTTCCAAATTTTATGCTAAATTATACATTTTTTTACTTCTTAAATTACTGAATCAATTCTTATGCAATTGATGAAATTTGAGCAATTATTAAACAAAATCAGTTACATAACTGATTGCACAAAATAAAGAGAAAGGGTCAAAGGGATGAAGAAAATCAAATTAGATACTTATATAGACTAGTGGTAGTTCGACAAACTTGTCTTGTTCACTCCTTTAAGATTTTGACCTTTTTAATTTGATAACTTTACTCTATTCTACAAACTTGGATTTCATTGCATGTTTTTTCAAGCTTATGCAACTTTCGTGGATTTTATTATTTACACCTTATCATTCTTCATATTCTTATTGGGTCTCATGTTATCTGAAATCCGAATTGTTCTCGTTTTCTTTAACTTCTTTTAGGTCAATGTTCTATAATTTAGACCTTATAATATAAGAGTAATGTTACATGTACAAATAAATCTTACAAAGATTTGTCAAATTGATGTGGGACAAAATAAATGGAAGAGTGAATATAATAATTTTAACTTTTTTATTTATTCTTCCATTCAGTTTGTGCCATATCAGTTTGTACACAAATCTTTGTATAATTTATTTGTACATCTAGTATTATTGATAATATAAACAACTAATTTGTTAATTGTCCTTTTCTTTTTGTTCATATACCAATTCTTTTCTTTCCAAATAAAATCTACCTAAGACGACTATTATAATCTTCACATAGGCCAACATGGCCCCTCAAACTTAGGAAGAACAACATTTTCCTACCCGTTAAGTTTCAAATCGACACTTTCCCACCCATGTTAAAATCCGTCCATCAAGTTTAACTGAAAAACAACATAATAGTAAATTCAAACGACAGTCATTATGTCCCCTACATATGAACTTTGAAAAAACAAAACAAAACAAAAATTGTAATTTAAACCCTTTCACTATCTTTCACATCCCACCGCCCCAAAATCCTACACCCCCACCCACCAATCGATCGGAATTGTACTTGGCTTAGTGTGATTTGGCCAAAAAAAGGCACTCGATTTGGCTTCTGCTTCATCAGTGCAACCATTGTCACATGCTCAGCTTCTTCGCTGCTTGTTGCTCGTCGACCCTACTTCGTTGCTACTTGTGCATGTTGTTGTCTGGGCACTTCTTATAAGTGCTTGCTCCTCTCGCCATGCGGATCTACGTGTCACGAGCGCGCTTGTGTGTGTGACAGTGCGCGATTGCCAAGAGCTCTTGTCCACGCCCCTAGCTGTGCGTTGTTGTAGTCCTAGGAGTCTTCATTGTAGCTATGTTTTCCTCCCTATGAAATCTTTGGTCCCCGCGGTTATGCGACATTTCTGTCATTATGCCTCTCCATTCGATTGACTTTCTTCCCTCGTGCCTGTGGTGGAAGGAGATGGTTTTGTGGTGGATTTGAGATGTGTTTATTTTTGTGCGAGAAGATTGTGGTTAGAAGGCTGGGTTTGATTCTGGCTGATTCACACCCAACTAGGAGTGAGTCCACCAGAATCGCAGTTGTAAGAGTCACAGAAGAAGAATAACAAAAGGGACAGAGCAGTGTTGCCGAAAATGCTATTGCATTGATTGTATTGAATTAAATGAAACTATACATGATGCCACCGCTTTATACAACAAAACAAAGTGTAACAAACCAAAGAATGCTATACAGCTAGCATAACAACCTGTAACAAACTGTAAATTTACATAATGGTACAAGGGCACCTCAACTATGAATAAGACCATTTGGTAATTTTCCTGAACAATTATCATATGAGGTGTGTCCATCTGATATAGAATATGGCTAGATATCAACGTCTTTGAGGATGCCAGGAGCTGCGCATTTGCATGAGATGAACTGATGTTGGACTACTCTAATACCCCACGGCAAGATGGAGAGTAGATATTAGCTACTTCCATCTTGGACAAATGTGAGTAGAGTAAATGAGAGGGCAAGGACTTGGTAAACATATCAGCAAGCTGCAGCTGTGTAGTAACATGAGCAGTCCGAAGTGTGCCTTCTTGTATCTTATACCTTATAAGATTACAATCCACTTCAATGTGTTTTATCCTTTCATGAAACATCGAATTAGATGCGATATGCAAGGCGGCTTGATTGTCACAAAATAGCTCAGCTGACTGAGGATGAGGAATGGCAAGATCAGTTAACAATTGCCTCAGCCAAGTGAGTTCAGTAGATATAGAAGCCATGGCCCGATATTTGGCCTCAGTAGAAGACCGAGATACCACAGTCTGTTTCTTGGATCTCCAAGAAATGAGAGAGTGTCCCAAGAAGACACAAAAGCCAGTTAAAGACTTGCGAGTATTAGGGCAAGATGCCCAGTCCGAATCAGAGTATCCAATGAGCTGTAATGAAGAAGCAGCAGACAAGAGGATGCCTTGGCCAAGAGCATTCTTGAGATAACGTAGCACTTTATGAGCTGCAGCAAGATGAGTAATGGTAGGGCAATCCATGTATTGACTCAAGACTTGAATGGGATAGCTTATGTCGGGTCTGGTGAGAGTAAGATAAAGTAGTCGACCAATTAGCTGGCGGTAAGGGGTGGGATCAGACAAGGGGGTTCTAGATGTCTTAGATAGTTTAGGGTTCTGATCCATGGGGATTTTGAGTGGTTTGGAAGCAAGATTACCAGTATCAGCCAAGATATCTAGTGTGTATTTTCGCTGGCATAGATGAATTCCTGTTGGAGAACGAGCCACTTCAATGCCTAGGAAATACCTTAGTGAACCAAGATCTTTAATGAGAAAATGGGTGTTCAAAAAATTTCGGAGAACAGAGATGGAGGTAAGAGAGCTGCTAGCAACTACTATGTCATCGACATAGACAAGTAGTGATGTAAAATCAGTGGCAGTGATATATGTAAAAATGTTGTAATCAGCCTTGGATTGCTTGAAACCAAAACTGATCAAAGATTGAGAGAACTTATCATACCACTGCCGTGAGGCCTGTTTAAGGCCATACAGACTTTTGAGCAATTTACAAACTTGTCCAGGTTGACCTTTAGTATATCCCGGGGGCTTCTTCATATAGATATCTTCATGTAAATCTCCATGAATGAAGAAATGCATTATTAACGTCAAACTGTTGTAAATGCCATCCTTTAATGGAAGCCAAGGCAAGCAGAGTTCATATTGTAACAATCTTGGCAATGGGGGAGAATGTTTCATGATAATCGACTCTTTCTTGCTTAGTAAAACCATGAGCAACTAAATGTACTTTCTTCCGTTCAACTATACCATTAGAATGGTATTTGGTTTTATACACACATTTGCAATCAATTGGAGATTTTCCAGGAGGTAAATCTATAAGGATCCAAGTCTTGTTTAGTTCTAGAGCATCAAGTGCATCAAGTTCAGCTTCCATTGCTTTGCACCAATCAAGGTCCTTGGTAGCTTGTTAAAAGTTTGTGGGTCTTGTTATGAAGAAATGGTAGAAGAAAATAAAGCAAATGAAGGTGATAAACGTGTATAAGAAATAGAAGAAGACAGAGGAAAATGAATACCTAAAGGAGTTGATGCCTTGTCCACGGATTGGTTAGATGAGATTGAGCTGACTTGTTGACAATGAAAATCCTATAAGTAGTTAGGAGTTGTTCTTGCACGGGTTGATCTTCGAAGGGAAGGTCGACATGGTATGGCAGGATAAGATAAGGAAGAGGAATCTGTTGTAGGTGTATGTGCAGGAAATGGTGCTGTAGCAGTAAAGTTGGGATGGGGAGAAGAGAGATGAGAGGATATGGGTGAAAGGGATAGGGAAATAGTAGAGGATATATCTGAGGTAAGGTTTGGAGGAAGTGTATAAGGAGAGGAAGAAGTTTGTGAAGGGACAGATTGCATGGGATAAGGAGATGGTAAAGGTAGGGAAAGGGAAGGAGATGTAGTGGTGGTTTGTTGATGAAATAGAAAAATGTGTTCATGGAATGTTACATCCCGAGAGAGGAAAATAGTCTTGGTATTAAGATCAAGCATTTTGTAGCCTTTTATACCAAAAGGATAGCCAAGAAAAACACAATGTCGACCTCTTGGATCAAATTTTTGGCAATTGTGGGAAAGGGTGGAAGCAAAGCAAAGACACCCCAATATTCTCATGTGAGAGTATGTAGGAGGCTTATTAAACAAGAGCTCAAATAGTGTTTTATTTAAAAGTAATGGACTAGGAATGCGATTAATAATGTAAGCAGCTGTAAGTATGCAATCTGTCCAATACAGTAGATGAATGTTAGACTGAATTTGTAAGGCTCGGGCAATATTTAATAAATGTTGGTGTTTACACTCAACCTTGCCATTTTGCTGTGGAGTTTCCACACACGTTCGTTGATGAATAATGCCTCGGTTGTTGAAGAATTCAGTCATTTGAAATTCAAGACCATTATCACTACGAAGGATTTGAACTCTGGTATGAAATTGAGTGTTTACCAGATTACAAAAAGCCTCGATACATTTTCTGGTATCCGATTTAGCTTTAAGCAAATATATCCAAGTACTTCGAGAATAGTCATCAATGATTGTTAAAAAATATTTTGTGCCATCATATGCTGTGAGGGAATGGGGTCCCCATATATCACAGTGTATGAGTTCAAAAATGGCTTTACTTTGATGAGTACTATCAGGAAAAGGTAGACAATGATGCTTTGCAAGAGGGCAAACAAGACAATAATTTTTATTAAAAATAGTAGAAACATGATTTTGAATACAAGGGTCTTTGATTACATGAATTTTGGAAGTGGGAGTGTGACCCAACCTACAATGCCAGAGATCGGAAATTAGATTCACATCCTTGAAAATGGCTAAAACAGAAATATTTTTGTGTAATGAAATGGAAAAGTGGTCAAAAAGTGTTGTATGAGGAACTTGAGTAGGAATCGGATTGTAAAGTCCAGCTTTCATCTCACCCATGCCAATCGTGGTCCACGACAAAATGTCCTGAATAGAACAAAATTGTGAAAGAAAAAGAATATAACAAGAGAAAGAGTTGATTAGTTGTTTGACAGAAATCAAATTGAAGTGAAAAGAAGGCACACATAAAACATTGTGCAAAGTTAATTTCGGGTTGATATGGACTGTGCCAATATGGGAAACAGGCGCTGTTTGGCCATTGGGTAGATTAACAACAAAGGAAGCAGAAGATGTTATTGAAGAAAAGAATGAGGTACTATAGATCATATGATCTTAGCGCCTGTGTCAATTAACCAAGGAGTCTGTTTGTGTGAGGATGAGGAAATACCATACATGGTGGGTGAGAATGAACAATCTGCCTGGACATTATTGACTGCATGCGTAGCAATGGAGGCCTCCGTTGGTTGCACTAGAGCCAACAATTTCTGGTATTGATCCTTAGTAAAAGTCATCTTGATATCAGAAATTTCTTCTTTAGGGTCGAGAGAGGACATGTTAGCATATGGGTTGTACTGCTTGGTTTTGCCATGAAGCTTGTGGCCTAGTGGATACTCGTGTAGTTTATAGCACTCTGCAGCTATATGTCCTGTCATATGACAGTGGGTGCAGGTTGGTGGTTGAGCGTTGCCAGCTTTGAAACAAGATCAAGAGTGTGGCCTTAAATCTTGCAATGGGTGCAAAATGGTCAGTCTCGTTTAGATGATTGGGAAGATTGAGGTGAGGATCTGTATGGTAAGTAAGGTCGGTTAGCAGCAAGCGCCAAAGACTCAGTAGAAGGGAGATTAGGCACCATGAGATGTTGCATTTCTTGCTGTTGAACCATGGAAAATATTTTTTTTATGGGTGGTAAGGGGTCCAAGATCATAATCTGATCACGAGTGGCATTGAATAAATCATTAAGGCCTATAAGAAATTGGATTACACAATCCCTTTGATATCGTTCAAGAAGAACAACCAATTTGCCACAAGAACAGTCAGGTAACGAATCATACATAAAGAGTTCATCCCATAGAGTCTTAAGTTTACCAAAATAAACAGAAACTGAATTATTGCCTTGAGTCAAACTTGTTAATGCCTTTTTAAGTTGAAAAATCCAGTGACCATTTGATTGAGTGAATCGTTCTTTAAGTTCCCTCCAGACTTGAGCAGCATCATTGACCAAAGCAATGTTGGATTTGAGGGAGGGATTAATGGAGTTATGTAACCAGGAAACTACAAGATCATTACAACGCTCCCAGGCATCAAAAAGAGGATCAGAGGTTGATTTCGGTTTAGAGAAGTTGCCATTAATAAAACCAAGTTTGTTTTGGGCACGAAGGGCCCTGCACATGGCTCTTGACGAAGTAGTATAGTTTTTAGAAGTGAGTAGGTCATAGACTAAGGGAAGCGACGGATATCTCCATGATCAAGTCTGTAAGGATTGATGGGGTTGGAAAAGTCTAGAAAAAGGTTTTTGGAAGCAGCATCATCGTTTTTGGAAGCAGAATCAGCCATTGAAAAAAAAAAAAGAAGGTTTTTACTCTATACCTTGCTCTGATACCATGTAAGAGTAACATAAGAAGAATAACAAAAAGGAACAGAGCAGTGTTGCCGAAAATGCTATTGCATTGATTGTATTGAATTAAATGAAACTGTACATGATGCCACCGCTTTATACAACAAAACAAAGTGTAACAAACCAAAGAATGTTATACAGCTAGCATAACAACCTGTAACAAACTGTAAATTTACATAATGGTAAAGGATACCTCAGCTATGCATAAGACCATTTGGTAATTTTCCTGAACAATTATCATATGAGGTGTGTCCATCTGATATAGAATGTGGTTGCACATCAGCGTCTTTGAGGATGCCAAGAGCTGCTGCATTTGCATGAGATGAACTGATGTTGGACTGCTCTAATACGGAATTAGAGATGGCAAAGGAGAAAAAAGAAAAAGAATGGAGAATAGTATTTTCGTCTTCACACTGTTTATACCATGTCAAAGAACAAATTTTCCTAATGGGACATAATAGTGGGTGGGAAACTGTTGTTTTGAAACTTAACAGGTGGAAAAGGTTGGTTTGCCAAACCTTGGGTGGGAAAATGTGGTTCTCCCTCAAACTTACATTTCGTGTGTGTGTATATATATATATTTATAGAACTTACTTTAACATTGATCAAGAGAATATCTACAATAGTAAGGACCTTATCCATTTAATTATCCATCAAATTCAGTTAAAATTAAAATGAGTGAAAAGTGTTGTTAAATTGGTATTACGATATTTATGGTTCAACTCTTTTTTATTTAACTATTATATTACATTTGATTATTTAATAATTCAAAAGGATCAATCTTTTAAATTAATAAATTTAAGTTATAACCTTCTGAATGAATAAGAAGTATCATTTTTCTTATGTCTATATTTATAAAATGCAGAATCAAAAAATAAAATTCCCAAATATTTAAATATTTTTTGGATTTTATTGTGAGTGAACAATTACAAAATAGAAGAGAAACGTCAGAAAGTTATCAATTACAAACAGGTCATGGGGAGCCGTAAAAGGGTAATTTAATCTCTACCGTTAATCAAACTATTGGCAGTTGAGGTGGCAACGTGGATTTGATAACGATGTTTGACTTTATTTTAGGGCTTCGCCCGCTTTCAAATCTGATTTATGAATTCTCATTCAAATTTTTAATTGTACTTTGTCCTCACCTTCCGACAAGTTCTGTACACTAAAATTCTTGATAACCTTTTTTAATTCAAATAAAATATATTTTAGAACTTCTTTACGGTCACACCAACTCCACGAAGTTGTCAAATATAATAATATTGAAATTTATTTGAAGTTGTCTATTATAATAATATTATAGTTTATTTAGTTTTTTAGATTTATAGGACATTTAATAATTGATAGACCTCAAAAATTAGTTAACGTATACATAAACTAACTCAAACACGTCGGTTATAAACACAAAAAATCTTATATTTTTTATAATTATAAGAGAATTGATAATTCATTGATTTGGATAAATATCAATCTTAATTACTGTTTAACAATAACTCAATAATGTAATAGAGGTAATATTATCTAAAAATTCAACATCAGTGTACAAGTAAATATTTCTTATTATAGGGATAGTACTTTAAAGTTTAAATCCCCTCATATTTGGTCAAATCTATAAACC